ACTCACCTAGGGATTGCCATATATAAGGCTAGATTCATGAGGTTCTTGCCTCACTGGAATCAGCTTATTCCTTACTCTGTGGGTGAGCTCAGCTCTGAAATAGTCTGGTAAGATAGTTACTCACCCTCATAGTTCTGAGTTAAGGACAGATGGCCCCAGGCAACACTAGTCCATGCTGGTGAGACTTCCAGCAGCCTCCCCCTTACTCATGCCCCTTTTCTTGCCCTTGTACCTCTTCCCTTAGTTCTCAGGGACTTTCTGCTCCTTTGCTCTTCCAGAGTCTTCTCCGAAAAAAATGAATGATGTATTCAATGGCTACTACTCTCAGGGGTACTTGTGTTGAACCAAATATGAGGAGCCTTAGCAAAAAAGAATTGGTTTCTAGTATCAAACTTACAGGCATTGACAAAACAGGTAAGGAGTATGCTTCAGGAAGAACCATAATAGTGGTGATGAGTGTGTGTGTGTGAGTGACTGCAGGGATACCACCTCGGGCTCCCTTTAGGCACCACCCATGGACATGACTGAAGGAGGGATCCCAGTTGTCTACAGGTCATGAGACAAATGGATAGAATATTCTTGCAGAGTCTTCGGTGGCTTAGTAAACTCTGCTCACCCGGTAAGACTGTGACCGATTCACCCTTTCAATCCATATGCCCAGTGCTGCATAGACTAGCTGCCGTGCTCCCACTCTGTGGGCATTTTTGGTATCTCCCCTAGTATCTCCCCCCGCCCCACGAAGGCGCACATATTCAGTGAAGGATAATTGAAAGAAAGGTAGAAAGGTGTGCTCAGAGCTAGGCTACCAAATCCTGGCCCCTGTGGACTGGCAAAAAGATTCAACAGAAAACACATGGGTCTACATCAGTGGTTCTCAACCTTAAGTGTTTTTGCCCCCAGAGGACATTTGACAATATCTGGAAACATCGGTAGTTGTCACCCTGGGGGTGGGGGGGAAGGGGCCCCTTGGCATCTAGTGTGTGGAGGCCAGGGATGCTGCAGAACATCCTGCAATGCACAGGACAGTCTCCCATAAGGAAGAATTATTTGGCCCCAAAATGTCAATAGTGTAGAGATCAAGGAACTGGTCTAAATGAAGATGGAAGGAGGACTCCAGTTTGGACTTCCATGACTCCCAGCACTGGACAGTGCTTGCAGAGGAAAGCTGTTCCTTATCCTCTGAATGACTAACTCCTGGGAGTCCTGGAAATGTTTGCACTTGTGTGTGTTCTCCAGCCCCTCCGTGATAGATTCAGGTCTGAGCCTGTTTATAAGTGGTCACTTGTATCCTTCGGTAAATTATTCAGCACCAACTATGTCCCAGGCACAGCTATAGGCAGGACAAGTAACAACAACACCTACAACAACATTAGTTACCATTTATTGACATTTGGCAGACTTGTGCTTAGCAGTTTATGTGAATTGTATCCTCTAATATTGCACAACACCTGTAAAGGAACTATTTAACGTAATCCCTGTTTACAGAAGAAGAAAGTGAGGTTGAGGAAGAACCAGTGGCTTGCCCAAGATTGTAAGGAAATGGTGGAAATGCATTGCAAAATCATGCACTTGGATTCTAGGGTCCAGACTCCTAGCCACTCAACTGCACAGAGAAAAGAAAGAGGCTGCCCCTGAAATAGAATCAGGCATCTGCATGTGGATTAGCCACACTAAATGGTAATTTCCAGGAAATTTCATTCTAACTAAGTTTTATTTTAATTTCGTAATTTGACTTGCAAGCCCCAAATTCCAGCTCAAAAGAGTGTGGGCTCAAACACTGGATTCTGTGTCCCTAGATGAGAAGCTCTGGTTTCGGGTAGCTCCCCGACCGGCCGGATGCGCGCCCTGCCCTCCTCCCAAACCATGCAGCGGAGGAACGACTTCGGTCCCGACCGAGGCAGGGTGAGGAGTGTTTGAACCGAAGCGCATTGTCCCTCCAAAGCCCATCGGCACTCCTCCAGGCAGCGGCTAGCCGCAGAGAGCTCTTGCGCGCTGCAGCCGCCTCCACGCTCCCCAGCTCTGCGCTCTCGCCACCGCCTTGGTAACCACTGCGGCCGCCGCAAGGAGGCTGCGTTTTCTCCAAACGCTCTCCAGGACAGCCCGTCAGGAAGCACCAAGGCTGCTCTTCTGGGAGCGGGACAGGGAAATAAAGCCTTGCATAGGGAAAGCTGAGAGGAAGAAAGGCACGCTCCTAGGAGAACTGCACCCGCTTGGACCCAGCCGGCAGCAGTGGCTCTGCAGCATCTATGAGCAGCTGGGAACAGGGCGGACCTTGGCATAGGGTGACAAAACTGAAGCATTCGGGCTGAGGAGTACGCTTGAGGTTGGGGGAGAGGGGCGGTGTCCAGCCTCTTCACATTCCCTCCAAGCTCCATTTCCATCTTCCTCTATAGCCACCACACTGTCCCCAAGCCAGGGCCCTAACAGGCCCATCTCCAAAAATGCCTTTCTGGTGGAGAGGTCTGTCACTGAAAGCTGGAGAGAGCCTGTCCCGGTGCACCTGATGACTCCCTCCCATATCCAGGGAAGGAGGTGATTCAACGTGAGCCATTCACCCTTCGCATTCACTGTGCACCTGTTTCCTGAAGGCCGAGCTCCCCGGGGCCCCAAACCTCAGTCAAAGACAGACTGGTGGGTTGCAGGTAGTTAAAGGATAGAAACTTCACTCACCCAAGGGTTCTTAGAACCCAAGGGTTCTTTCTCAGCCGAAAAACTCAGCGTCAGAATCATTGATAATAAAACATTAGTTGGGATTCGATTCACAGTATGCCTCAAAGCACCTTGGCTTCCTTGATATTGGTACAATGCCCCCCTCCTGGGAGTCAGCCGACTGGTCTCGGGTGAGACTGGGGAGGGTGCAGAGAGGCGGGTCAGATCGACTCTCCTCTGTCTCCAGCACAGCCCAGGAGTCTTGTTCCAGGAGGAACCAGGAATGGCCTATGGTGGGAAGCCAGATCGCACCCGCCTTTATTCTAGGAGAGGTGGAGAGAGCGCCTCCTGTTCAGCTTGACTGAAGGAAAAGACCATTTTAGAAATGAACCCCGCCTGTGTTGAGCAACCCCAACTGGAGCGCCTTTCAGGAAAGAGGCATATGTTTGCTTTGCCTGGACATGGGAAGTCCGGGGCTACCCCAGTGTGTGTGGGGGGCGGGGGGTGGCAGGGAGATGTCTGGCAGGAAAAGAAGTGGCCCAGGTTTCCAGGAGGCGGAATGGGAGGTTTCTGCAGGTCGTGAGAACCCAGATCCGCTTTCCTGCGCAGCAGAAATACCCCACTTCCGCGGCTGTGCGCTCTCCGCCTGGACGGAAACCCCAGTGCTTCCTTCTCCTCGTCCACAGAACGAGTGAAAACCCCGCATATCTCCCCAAGGAGGATTGGGGTGTGGACTCTAAAGTCGTAGTGGGCTGTGGGGGTGTAAGAAGAATGGGTGAGAACATGGGTACCGGAGGCACGGGCGCCTGCTACACAGGGCCCCCGGAGGGGACCGCGGCGCCAGATCGCTCGGGGTCCTCGGAATCTTGGCAGCACCGTCTGACAGAATTTGCCTCAGAGCAAGCCGAGGGGGCCGTTGCAGAGAAGGCCGCACCATCTTGTTGGGAATTTATCCCTAACAAATACGATAGATAAAAAAATAAATAAAAACAAACAAACAAACACGTCAGTCAGAGCGCCCCAAAAGACTGAGTTCTCCGGCTCCTCTCGCGGGAGTTAGTCGCTGCTCATGGGGATGGCGGTCAGGACAACCAAACCCGCAGGGCTGCTGGTGGGGCGGGATCCCCGGCGAGAAGGGGGCGCTGCAGGGGTCTGGACCAGAGGCACCGCGTGGGTGTCCTTCCGACTCGGCTCTCTGCTCTCCCCCACACCCGTGCACCTGGCCGGAGCTCCGCCGGAGACTAGGGAGCGCACGGGGCAAGTGGGGCACAGAAGGCAGAGTCCTCGCGGGGCGGAGGGTGCAGACAAGGGCTGGCGGGGCAGCAAGGTGAGGGGCGGAACCGAGCGTGGAGCTCGGACCTGCCACCCCATCCCCGCCCTGCCCCAGCAGGAAGCCCCAACTCAGGTGGGCGCCTGTGCAGTCCTGAGTGGAGGCCTGGGGTCCAGAGCCACGTGGATTTCTAAGAAAAAAAAGTTTATTTAAAATTTTGTACATAAATAAATAAATAAATATCTTCTGGTATTACAGAGACCGTACAATGACAAGCTAGACCGGGGCGGGGTCGGGGTCTGGGGTCTGGGGAAGAGAGGGGTCGCCGGGAGCGGAGAGCCAGGGTCTCATTTAGGGAAACGCAAAGCGTCTCCGAAACAAAGTGAGTCGGTTTCCCCGACACGGATATCACGGGCGACGATTTCTCTCGTGGGAGAGGAGCTGCAGGGACAGCAAGGCCTGATTGAGGGACAAATGGGCCCCCTGAAACTCGAGGAGGGGACGGAAAGGAAAAGAAAAACAATAACAACAAGAGTTCGCAGATGTGTGTGTATGTCTGTGGTGGGGGGGGAGGCGGGGTGGATAAACGACAGCAGTGAAGAAGTGGGGACGGAGAGAAAGATGTAAAAAAAAAAAGGGGGGGTGAGGGTGGGGGTCACAAGCTGGCGTCCGAGGGGTAAGAGGCCCAGCTTGACCCAGGGTGGAGGGGAGTGGAGGACGCGAGAAAGCCTGAGCCAGTCCAGAGAGGTCGGGCGAGGAGGCGCCAGCGGCCAGCAAGGCGCAGGGCCGGCGGGCATGCCCTCCAGGGCCGCTGTGCTGCATCGCTGAGGACTCCAGCGCCTGCAGGATTCACAGCTTGGAGTTCGCTTTGGACGGCTGCGGGCCCTGGGTGGGAATACCAGCGTCAGGTCTCTGCCAAGCCCTTGGCGCTGCCCAGGGCCCGGGACCTCCGCAAACCCTTGCCAAACCCGTGCGTGGCCGCGGTTTGGCAGCGGGTGCCTGGGAACCGGTGCTTCGTCCCACGACCTGTCTTTGAGACGGCAGGGAGGGCCTGGGGTGGGCGACCTGGGGAGGCGCGCGCCTAGGGAGTGACCGTGAGATCCCGGTCATCTTTCCCCGAAGAGGACGGAGACATGGGCAATTCGTCGTCATCCTCGGAGCACTTGGCTGAGGAGAGCGACGCGCATTTGCAGCTTTGCGGTGCGCCAGTGCCCGCGCCCGCGCTCCCGCCGCCGCCGCGGTGGTTGCTGCCTTTGCCCTCCTTCTTGTGCTTCACCCGGCGGTTCTGGAACCAGATCTTCACCTGCTTCTCGGACAGATTCAGGTAGGTGGCGATCTCAATGCGGCGCAGGCGGGACAGGTACATGTTAGAGGCGAACTCGCGCTCCAGCTCTAGTAGCTGCGTGCTGGTGAACGCGGTGCGCATCCTCTTGCTGCTGGGCAGCTGGTTGGAGCTGCTGTCTGGAGGGGGTGGGGTGCAGAGAGGGAAGCGATCATTCTCCTGCGCTGTGGGCCCTATCCTCTCGTACGTGACCAGTAGAATCCCGGGACTTTGGTCTTTCACCTACCTCTTTGCCCCAAACGAGACGCACAGCAGCGCTACCGCGGGCGCCTCCTTGCTAAGCCGCGGGACCCAGATACTCCCAGAGTCACGCAACCCTGGCACTACTTTATGGAGCGCCCTGAACCTCAGCCCTCGTTCGCTCCTGCGCGCCCCCTCCGAGACCTGGACCTCCTGCCCTCCCCCTCCCTCCTGGGTCCTCTCCCAGACCTCCATCGGCACACCACCCTGACTATTCCCCCTCAGGGTCCCAGCATGACTTTCATCGTCCCCAGGACGCCCAGGGACCCTCACCCCCATCCCTGGCTCGCCAACTCTCATCAGGTCACCCATGCCCTGTCCCACTGCGCAGCGATTCGTCTTACCCACGGAGATGCAGTGGAACTGCCTGGGGTCGGGCAGCGGATAGGAGGTCTGGTAGAGCGCGGCGGCGGCAGCGGCGGCAGCGGGGCCGTGAGCGACCCCGGGCGACACGGCCGAGTGCTGGCGGCCTAGGGGCGCGTGGCAGTACTGCGAGCCGAAGGGCGGGAAGGATGCCTTGAGCAGAGGCAGCGCGGGCGGCCCAGGGGGCCCGTGCAGCTGCGAGGCGGTGACGCAAAGGGGGCACACGCACAGCAGCCCGGCCTTGCGCGCGTGGCAGGCGCCGGGCGAGAGGCCGTGCAGCGCGTGCGGCGGGGGCACGGCGTAGGGAAAGAGCGGCGGCGGGCTGCCCTCCGGGGCCTTCTTCTCGCCTGCCTCGCGCAGCACCAGCGAGTCCACCAGGAAGGAGCGCGGCATGGCCCCGGTGCGCTGTCGCCCCGCCGCCAGCCGTCTCTCTGCGCTCCGCGGACTTCGGGACTCTCCACGCCCTTCCCCCGGCCGCGGCCGCGCGCTGTTGCCTGTTCGCTGGAGGCTAAAGGCGCCGCTGAGGCGGAGGCTGAAGCTGCGGCGGCTGCTGCCGCGGGCGCCGCGCGGAGAGCTCGGGGTGCTGGCCAGCGCTAGTGGTGCTGAAAGGCGCCGGCGGCGCCGCTTAAATAGGACTATTGCCATGTGATGGGCTACGCCAGGAGCGGCCGGGGCCTCTCAATAGGGTTTTTGTGCCTTTTCTCTTGGCATTCACTCTGCACGCTTCCTCATTATTTCACTTGTTAACTAAATGAACTGCATAATGTACTCTATTCTTGTCAACCCCACCCACGCCGTAACAGGCGCCCTCGCCCCCTCCTCTCCCTTTTGCGGGTTTATTTTCTCATTCTCCTGCGATTTAATATTCTTTTCTTTCTCTTTATTCCTTACTCCCCTTTGGCTTTGCATTGGCGATCGGCTGGTTTATCTTATTGATTTTGTAGCCCCGCTGCCTCGCTTCCACAGATTCCCATGGGCGCACACCTCCTCTCTGTGCGCACTGGGTCCCTGTCCCCTTCCTTCTCTCATCTACCCCTGCTCCCAAGATCATGCTTCCTCCACTCAATTAGCTCAGGTCTGCGTTGTGCACTCCATAGGTGTCCCTACAGCCCGTCTCGGATTTCCACCTGTGGAATCCCTTCCCCTCTTCCTGCATGGGAGGACCCGAACTCCTGCAGGGGGGAGGTGCTGCTGGGGAGAGGGGAAAGGAGTTCAGTATTCCTTATCCCCACTAGCCCCAACGCTGTCTTTCAGCGCTGTCTTAAGTTTCTCCAAAAGTCTTAACTTTGATGCTGCCCTTAACGCCCAGCCTTTGTTCGGTACATGCTAGTCAGCCAGACTTTTCCTTTAAATGACTGGGCTGTGGGTGTAAAGTGAACAGCCTCTGAGAGTCACTGACAGAGGCAAGGAATGGGAAATGAAAACCTACACCGCGAAGCTAGAGCATCTCACTAGAAGAGGCGATGTAGGTGCTCTGCGGGGCACAGATCTTTCCGGCGCTCTCTCCACTGTGCCCGCGTCAAAAGACTCGGGGCTGCGCTTGGAAACCATTGCCTTCCCGGAGTTTGCCCCACAGGAGCAGGGCGAAGGGCCGTTGTATTCCCACCTTCTGGTGCCTTCGCCCAACCGGGTCGACCTCCCCTGTCCCCAAGACCTCCTCCTGCCACGTCGCTCTCTTCTTTCTGGTCACACAATGGTTAAACAACTTCAAACGCCTGGCTCTGTGTACACAGCTTCGGCCTTTTAAATAGTCCCCGGGCTCAAAGCTGCTTCGCCCAGGAACTTTTTCCATACAATGGGAAATTAGCATAAATATTTCGAATTTACAGTCCCGGACTTTTCACCAAAGACGTTTACTTTCGATTTTATTGGAACCAAATCGCTGCAGTCACCTGCTCTGAGCCTTGAATGGAGTTGTGAGAAATGAAGGGGGAAGCTTTTCGGAGGGGGGAATCTGTGCTCGGCAGTTAGACTGCCCCAAGTTGAAACATTTATATGGTTTTTCATCATTGGTGACATCTTTACAATAACAATAGCAACAAATTATAACTGATTAAAAAGCAAAGAGAATCTGTTGGAGAGAAAACAACTGATTCTGTAACGAGAGGGGCAATGGGGAAAATAACCTGGATGAAGCGCATGTCATTTAGCAGGAGGAGTAGGGCTCAATATTTCCTTATTTGTTGGGCATGGGGGGGAGAGGAGCTCGACCCCCCCCCCCCCCCCCCCGCCCCACCGCCAGAGTCTCCTCTCCAAGGCTCCCCGCCCAAGGGTGGTGCTTGCAAACTAGCCGAGTGCAACAGCGCAGCTTAATGCGGGTTCCAATCCAATTGCTCTCTGAATAATTTGGGCTCGCCTGCACGGCTGAGACTGAGCCGAGAGCCGGGACCAGGGCCGTAGAGGCACCCCCCCCCTCCGGGGCAGTGGCCTCTGGGAGAGGAGTGCGGCGGGGCTCTGCGGGGTGAAACTGCACCCCGGAGCCTGGAGCCAGCGAAGGGTGAGTGCGGAGTTCTCTTGGGAGCCGCAGCCCGCGCCCGGGGAGGAAGGGGTTAAGAGCCCCTGAATGCGAGCAAGGCCAAAGCTACTGGGAAAGAATATCTGGGGGGGGGGGGGGGCGGAATAACCAGTTTTTTTTTTTTTTCCCTCCAGCCTCTGGACCTTATTGAATGTCATTGAAGAAAGTTTTGAATGCCAGATAAAGAGAGGCGAATTAAAGTGTGTGACAGCGGAGGATAAGCAAACACAAAGAGAACTCTGTCACACTTTGGGGCAAAATCCGTGGGCTTTTTACCAAGTCTCTTCGCTATGATTGAATTAAGTAATAGGAAAACATTTTCTTTCAGTTTAGAGCCATTAGACAAAAACTTCAAAGCGAATAACACTTTTTAATGTGCGGCCCACAATGGATCGGGTTTTGTGCTGAAATGTTTAAATGGTTTGTTGTGCAACTCGGCGCGGGAGCGACCCGGGCGCAAGCAAAATAGCATCCCTGAGAGTGTTTTCGGGAGGCCTGGAAAGAACGCACACTTAATCCGCCATCGCTAAATCCGGAGGGCGCCGGCCGGAAAGGGGGCTCCTGCTTGGCGGTCCCGGACCGCGGGGCGCGCCCCAGGAATTGGGGAATTTCGGGAAAGTACTCTGCCCACGGAGAAGGCCGGGCAGGAGCTGAGGCGCACGGGCCGCGGGGAGAACTTGCGGCCCGGCGAGGGGCGCGAGCTCGCCTGAGTGCCCAGTGCCTCTCAGCTCCGCAGCCCAGCCCGGAGGCCTCGATCCGCCGCCTGGTTTCCGGCCGCTGCCCTAGCACCCCGGGGGACGGCTACCCGGGGACACCCTGGCTGCCGCACTGCTTTTCTGGTGGGTGCGCCTTCCGGGGCTGGCTTCAGCTGGTTGTGAACTTTACTCGCCCGAGCAAACGCCCCCCTTGGGTGGGGTGGGGTGAGAGGAGGCGGTGGGATTAGCCTGACAGCCCGAGTGAGGGGCCTCGGGGAGCCCCTCGGCCTGGTGGGCCCTGCTCTGCCCCTGGAGCTGGTTTTCAAGTGTCCATCAGGGACAGTTCAACATGGAATAATTTCTGTTGTCCCGCTCTTTTCTTCTCTTTCACACCGCCTCCTTTCCTGTTGGTCTCTAGAGAGCACGCCATTTTTCTCCTGGAAATGTCTCTCTAAGATATTTGCAGCAAATGTATCTCGGCAAAAACTGCCGAAATTGGGAGGAGGGTTGGGGAATCCTTGTTCCTTTACCTTGTTCCTTTACATCTTCAAATGTCACTTTTCTTCTCAGGGAGGCCAACGACCCTGTTAAAAAATATCACTCCTTTCCCCCCACGTTCCCCACTCCCGTTCCTTGCTTTACAAGTACCTTCTATCTTTCTGTGTCTTTTACTTGTTTTTCTGTCTCCGCCCCCCTCCCACCCCACTGAAACATATGCTCCTTTGAGGATCGGCCTATTTGTCTATCTGGTGCATGACTGTATCCCACCTCAGAAAAGTTCCTGGCATATAGTAGGGTGCTCAGTATATATTTGCTGGATAAATAAATGAATACTGAGGCATAACTCAGGAGGTAAGAGGAGTTTTTCGTTTGCCCACTTAATACACATAGGCACTTAGGGGCATGGTGTGGGGCAACTTACCTGCAGGAATTGTCTGACTCTCTTGCAGCCTCCACACCTTCCCCAGTGCCTGAACCATCACAGGAGCTCAGTGTATTGGAGTGAATGGCAGATCTGTAGGTCCCCAGCCCTCCTCAGGAGTTTCTCAGGTTCCTTCATAGGGTGAAGATGGTCCCATTCAAGGCAGTTGCAGTGTCCTGCTCTACAGGACTTGGATGAACCTATTGGGAGCTCAAGGCTAGGGTTTATCATCCAAGGCTTTTTTTTTTTTTTAAGATTTTATTTATTTAACAGGATGAGAGAGCACAAGCAGGGGGAACGTTAGAGGGAGAGGGAGAAGCAGGCTCCCCACCAAATAGGGAGCCCCATGTGGGGCTCCATCCCAGGACGCTGGGACAGCAACCTAAGCCGAAGGCAGATGCCCAACCATCTGAGCCACCCAGGCGCCCCATTATCCAAGGCTTTTCATGGTATACAGGAGATGGGGTTGATTAGAAAGAGAAGCAATGTGGTACATGCCCTGGAATTATCAGTGGCCATTTCTGCTTTTTCTGGGTTGAGGCAATGGAGTGGAAATTCTCATTGTAAGTAAGGGACTGCTCACTTAACCAGGCCAGTAGTGGCTCAGACAACTCCCCTCGGGAGAGAGCAGCCTGTTCACTTGATCGAGGGGCAGGAGAACAACTAGTGAGTTGAATGGTGAGTGCACCTGGGAGCCAGAGTGGAGTGCGCCTGGTGGGGGGTGGGGTGGGAGAGAAGTGCCTAAATGTTGGTGTGAGCGGAAGTGAAGGCTTAGCCACAAAGGGCCAGGCTAACAGGTTTGTACTTGGTCCTATTCAGAGATTTTTAAGGAAGGGAACTTAAGAAATATAACTGGAAGCAGTAGGAGCTCCTATAGATGGGGACACAGAGAGGCTAGAGCAGGATCCAGCAGAGTTGGCTTGCAAATGAACAATTATTGAATTCTTGAATGAACAAAAGTAGGGAAACAAGCAAAGAAAAGGTTAGTTCACGTGATGGATAATGACCACCTGAGATCTGGAAAGGAGACATGAGGATCAGAAAGTGAAAATATTTGAGAGAATTTGAAGGGGGAAATGGGTAAGACCAATTAGGTGTGTGTATGTTTGTGTACGTCTGCAGGTGCTGGAGGAGGACTTGAAAGAGAGAAGGCATCAAACACATAGATGACTGCTTGGTTGCTTGTTTGAGGGAAGGAGTGGAGTCATATCAAAGGCAGAGTCAGGGAACTCAAAAGCAGGACCTACTTTTGTTTGTGGAG